GGGATGAGTTTTGGAGGGAATTCCCAGCCCCAGCTCCCAAATTCCCAAAGGGACCCCAATTTGAGATTGGGTATTTCGGGGATGAGTTTTGGAGAGAATTCCCAACCCCAGTTTGGAATTTGGGATTTTGGGGATGAGTTTTGGAGGGAATTCCCAGCTCCAATTCCCAAAGGGACCCCAATTTGAGATGGGGGGATTTGTGGGATGAATTTTGGAGGGAATTCCCGGTTGATTCCCAAAAAAAAACCCCGGGATTAGGTACGAGACCCCTCCCCACCCCTCAAGGGCCCTCCCCGGGGTCGGGAACTTCCCAAAATCCCCCAAATCCCCCAAATCCCCCGTTCCCAATCCCGGTACGAGCCGCGGGACCCTCCCCTCTCGTTTCCCCCTCCCGAAATTCCCGAAACCACCCAAAAAGGTCCCGTCAGGACGGGCCCGAACCCCCCGGGGATCCCAAAGGTGCCTGAATTCACCCCAAAACGCCAGAGGGGGGAGGGAATTCCCGCTCCAGGTGCTGCACCCCAAACTCCAGAGCAATATCCCACGGGAAGAGGGGGAGCCCGCCCCGGCCACCGGGAAGCTTTAAAATTCCAGCCCCACTTTGGGGCTGGAACATGGAATTTCCCCCTTTTTTTTTTAGCACAGGTTGGTTTAGAGACCCTCCCCCGTTTCCTTTTTTCCCCCCCCCCCGAAATTCCCGAGATCTCTCCCCGTTCCCATTTTTTTTTTTTTTACGTTGCATTTTCCTTTTTTTTTTTAAATATTCTGTACTATATTTTTAGTCTTAAACACGATATATTATATATATTTAATTTTTTTATATATATATATATAAATATAAATGGTTAAAAAAAATTAAGGCGGCTCTGAGTTTTTCTTTTATGTTTTGAGGGATTTTACATTAAAAAAAGGGGGATTTTTGTCATTCCTTAATAGTTTTTCTGGGAAAATTGAGGAATGGATGGAGGGAGGGAGGAATATTTTCCTTTTCCATCCGTAATTCCTACAATTCCCGGAATCTCAAGTCCCTGGAGGGATTTGCATGGCAACCACAATTCCAAAAGAACAACACTTCCAGACGAATTTATTCCAGGGATTTATCTGATTCATTCCTGGCTTTATCCCCATTTATTCCACGGGAATTTTCACCACAAATCCCTCGCCTCATCCTTCCCTTTATACAAAAGCGATTTTAATCCAATAATTAAATCAGGATTCCCTCACGGAATCCGGAATTTGGCTTTTAGAAGGAAAATTCCCTTTTTTTTTCCCCCATCCCGCTGGAATTTCACCTTCCAGCCCTTTCCTTTGCCGACCTGGTGACAAAACAGTCAAATAAATTAATTTTATTGGAATTCTCCTTTAACCGCGAGCAGTTAGAAGAAGAAAAGAAGGAATCGGGAAGTATTTCCCAGACTTTATGTGGAAAAATATAAAAATTTTGGAAACGCGGGAGCCATCGTGCCTCAGTTTCCCCTCACGGCTCTTACAGGCCCCTCAGCCAAAGTACAGCGGGACAAGGGGACACCGCTGTCACTGCACGGCTGCGGTGCCATTCTAAGGCTGGGGAGCCATTCCAAGGAGGAATTCCCGAATTCCCGACGCGAATTCCCGCGGTTTGTCCACTCTCCCCTCACAACCCCGCCATGACGGGGCCTGGCCGCATCCGCAGCGCAGCACCCCCGCCCCCTTCCGTGCCCGCCCCCGTCTGGGCGGGCTCTGGGGACCGCGTCCCTCAGGCGGGGCTATTTATGACCTCGGGACACCGCGAGCTCTCGCGAGATTTTCCGTCCCGCCATACTGTTGTGGGCGTGGTCTCCCCATTACGTCATCGCTGTGCCGTGAGGGGATTTGGGGGTCCTGAGGAGATTTTTGGGGTCCTGAGGGGATCTGGGGACCCCATGAGGGGAAAGACCCCCCAAATCCCCAAAATCTTCCCTTTGTCCCCGCCTGGATCCTCGGGCAGCAGCCCCAGGCCTGGAGGGGTCCCAAAGGGGGTTTTGAGGGCCCCCCTCAGTTCTGTGGGGTTTGGCGGTGTCTCCCCCCTTCCCCTGGGTTTGGAGTCCAAAACTCTAAATTTGGGTCCACATCCCTGATTTTGGGATCCCTCATTCCCTGGATTCGGGGTTCCCCATCCCTGAATTTGGGTCCACATCCCTAAACTTGGGCTCCCCATTCCTGAATTTGGGGTTCTTCATCCCTGGATTTGGGGTCCCCAAACCCTGGATTTATTTCTCCCTTCCCAGGGTTTGGGATGGATCCCAGTGGATCGAGGCCTTCCCCACAGCCACATCCCAGAAAACTCCGGGTTTTGGGATCAGTGTGGGGAAAAAAAACCCTGAAATTTCCTTAAAATGCCTTAAAATTCCTGAAAATCATGAAGATTCCTGAAAAATCTTGAAAATTCCTGAAAAATCTTAAAAATTCCTGAAAATACTTTAAAATTCCTGAAAATCCCTGAAAAATCCTGAAAATTTCTTAAAATTCCTTACAATTCCTTCATTTCCACATAAAAGGATCGCCCGCCAGGATGATCCAAGGAAATGGGGCTGGAAAAAAAAAAAGCAGGAATTCCTTAAAATTCCTTTAAATAATTCCTTAAAATTCCTTTAAATTCCTCAAAAATCCAGCTCGGAGTGCCGTGGGATAATGTGAGTGTCCCTGCCAATGGAATTGGGACATGTCAGCTCTTTCCAAGCCAAATTATTCCAGGTTTCCCTAAAAATCCAGGATATTCCTGGCCCTGGGAATGGCTTTTCTTCCTTTTTTTTTTTTTTTTTCCCCTGGTTTTCCTGGCTCTGATCCCAATAAAACCAAAAAGAAAATCCCCATTCCAATCTCCTGTCCTGTTTCACTTTGTGATCCCTGAATTGCTTTGGAATAATTTCAAGTTTCCTTCCAGGAATTCTCCGCATCCCGAATTTCCCGGGCTGGGCTTTGCTCCAAGCTCTTCCCTCTCTTCTGCCCCAGGGATTCCAGCGGAATTCCAGAGGTTTTATCGCCCCTCCAGCCCTTCATTAACCCTTAATTGCCGTTAATTAGCCCAGGCCAGGACCCTCCGTTCCGTTCTTCCAGGTTTTTTGGGATGAGAGGTGCAAAAGGGGAATCCTGGAGGGATTTGGGGCACCCAAAAACCGCCGAGCGCCCCCAAAATTCGATTTTTTGGGACACCTGGCTGCTCCCTCGTCCGTTTGGGGAATTCCTCAAAAAAAATCCTGGAAAAACAGAAGCTGGGATTAACCCCTTGGGTGCCGACCCCGCCGCGGGTCCCCTCTCCCCACGTTCCCGATTTTCCCACCGGGAATTCCATCCCCAATAAATTGGATTCCCAAATTCCCGGCTGGCAGAGCTTTTCCCGCTGGAATTCCCGGCTGGAAAACCGGGATCAGCCGGAGGGAGGGAGGGAAGTGAAGGAGAAATTCCGGCATCTCCTTCCCCAAACCCCAAACTCCAAATCCCCAAACCCCAAAACTCCAAATCCCCCAAACCCCCAAACCGCAATCCCCAAACTCCCAAATCCCCAAACCCCCAAAGCCCGAATTGCCCAATACCGCCAAACCCCCAAACTCCAACCCCCAATTCCCAAATCCCCCAAACCCCAAATCCCCGAACCCCCAAACCTCAAATCCCCAAACTCCCAAACTCCCAAACCCAAACCCCCAAACTCTAAACCACAGCCCCCAAACCCCCAAACTCCAACCCCCAATTCCCAAATCCCCCAAACCCCAAATCCCCGAACCCCCAAACCTTAAATCCCCAAACTCCCAAACCCAAACCCCCAAACTCTAAACCACAGCCCCCAAACCCCCAAACTTAAAACCCAAACCTCCAAATCCCCTAAAACCCAAAACCCCCAAACCCCCAAACCCCCAAATCCCCAGAACCCCAACCCCCAAAACACCAAATCCCCAAATCCCCAAAACCCCAAACCCTTCCAGGACCCGCGGAGGGGCCGGGAGAGGCCCTGGAATATCGGGGAGAGCCCCTGGCATTTCGGGGAGCGCCCCTGGCATTTCGGGGAGCCCCCCTGGAATTTCGCGGAGCGCCCCTGGCATTTCGGGGATCGCCTCTGGGATTTCGCGGAGCGCCCCTGGCATTTCGGGGGGCGGCCCTGGCATTTCGGGGGGCGCCTCTGGGATTTCGGGGAGCGCCCCTGGCATTTCGGGGAGCGGCTCTGGGATTTCGCGGAGCGCCCCTGGCATTTCGGGGGGCGGCCCTGGCATTTCGGGGGGCGCCTCTGGGATTTCGGGGAGCGCCCCTGGCATTTCGGGGGGCGCCGCCGGCACTGCGGGAATCCCCCCCCCTTTTCCCGGTGTTTTTCCCCTCGGGAGCGCGGCCCGAGCCCTCCCGGGCCGTGGCCGCCGCTAATCCGGGCCCTGATCCGGGCTCTGCGGCCGCCGCAGGGTCGGGGGTCAGCGCAGCCCCCGCCATTCTGCGCGCTCCGCCCGCTCCGCAGCCCCGCTCCCGCGGCTCGCCCCACTCCCGCTTTCATTTCTCCCCATTCCCGCTTTCATTTCTCCCCACTCCCGCTTTCATTTCTCCCCCATTCCCGGATTTTCCCCCCATTCCCGTGTTTTTCCCCATTCCCGTTTTCCCCTCCCCAGTCCCGGTGTTTTTTCCCCCCCTTTCTCGCATTTTTCCCCCATTCCCGCACTCCCTCTATTCCCGTTTTTCCCCCATTCCCCTTCCCCCCCCCCCCCCCCCCGTTCCCGCATTTTTCCCCTATTCCCGGATTTGTTTTTCCCCATTCCCGCATTTTCCCCCATTCCTCTTTCCCCCTCCATCCCCGTTTTTCCCCCATCCCCGTTTTTTCCCCCCCAATCCCGGATTTTTCCCCCATTCTCGGTGTTTGTTTTCCCCCCATTCTCGGTGTTTGTTTTCCCCCCATTCCCGGTGATTTTCCCCTCCATTCCCGGTGATTTTCCCCCCCATTCCCGCACTCCCTCCATTCCCGTTCCCCCCCCCAATCCCGGATTTTCCCCCAATCCCGGATTTCCCCCATTCCCGCTGTTTTTCCCCCATTCCCGCAGTTCCCCCATGGCGATCCCGTCTCCCTGAGCCCCGCGATGCCCCGCGCCCCTCGGGCTGCGGCGCCGGGGTGGTCGCTCCTCCTTCCTCCCCCTCCTCCTCCTCCTCCTCCTCCTCCTCCCGCTCCTCGGAGCCGCTCCGGCCGCTGATCCCGCTCCGAGCCGAGCCGAGCCGATTCCCGGGATAAAATAAACCCAGATCCACAGGGATGGAGCGGGAATGGCCGCGGGGCAAAGCGCGGCTGCCCTCGCTGCTGCTGGCGCTGCTGGGGCTCGGCCCAGGTGAGTTGGGGGCGGCCCCGGGGCCGCGGGACCCCCGGGGGGGCTCGGCCAGGACCCCCCGGCCCTCCCCGATCCATGGAAAGCTCTGGAATTTCGCATCCAGCGGGGCCGGACCCCCCCGGGCTCTCCCCCCCCTCCCCACGCGGAATTTTTGGGGTTTTTATTTGGATTTGGGGCGGGGGGGGGCTGCGATTTTTAATTTTTTTTTTAATTTTTTTTTTTCCCCCCTCCTCGGCTCCTTACGTAAAGCCGGGAGCGAGGGATCCCCCCGGAATTCCCAAAGATTCCAGAATTCCCGTAAATGCCCTCCGGGAGCATCCCGGCCGCACGGGCAGCTCTAATTACGGGGCTCATTTGCCTCCGTGATTAATTGGCCCGGCGGGGACGGTGCCGCCAGGTGATGCCCCAAAAAACCGGCCCGGGAAAGGTGGGAAAAGCCCGAATTCCCGGGATCCGGAGCGCTGGGAAGAGACGCGGGGTTAAACGCGAGGCTGGAGTTGGGTTTTGGGGGAATTTCGGGGGATTTCGGAGGTTTGGGGTGGATCGGGAGCAGGGATGGATCCCGCTCCTCCCTCTCCCTCCTCTCCGCGCTGCGGGAGAGCCGCGTGCTCCCAAAAAAAACCCGAAATCTGGGATAAACAGGCAGAGCCGGGGCGGCGCTTGGCGCGGGAGGGGCCGAGCATCAACCGGGCCCTCCCGGGAGGGAAAACCGGGAAAAACCCCGGGAAAAGCTCGGGGAGCCCCGGGGGGCTGCAAACCCCGGCGGGAAATGGGGACGGGGATGGAGACGGCTCAGAGCGGGAGAGGGTTTGGGAATAACCGGGAAAGGGTCCTGGAAATAATCGGGAGAGGGTCCTGGAAATAACCGGGAGAGGGTCCTGGAAATAACCGGGAAAGGGTTTGGGAATAACCGGGAGAGGGTTTGGGAATAACCGGGAAAGGGTCCTGGGAATAATCGGGAAAGGGTCTTGGAAACTTGGAAATAATCGGGAGAGGGTCCTGGGAATAATCGGGAGAGGGTCCTGGAAATAATCGGGAGAGGGTCCTGGGAATAACCGGGAGAGGGTCCTGGGAATAACCGGGAGAGGGTTTGGGAATAACCGGGAAAGGGTCCTGGAAATAACCGGGAGAGGGTTTGGGAATAACCGGGAGAGGGTCCTGGAAATAACCGGGAGAGGGTCCTGGAAATAACCGGGAGAGGGTCCTGGAAATTATCGGGAGAGGGTTTGGGAATAATCGGGAGAGGGTCCTGGGAATAACCGGGAGAGGGTCCTGGGAATAACCGGGAAAGGGTCCTGGGAATAACCGGGAGAGGGTTTGGGAATAACCGGGAAAGGGTTTGGGAATAACCGGGAGAGGGTCCTGGAAATAATCGGGAGAGGGTCCTGGGAATAACCGGGAGAGGGTCTTGGAAACTTGGAAATAATCGGGAGAGGGTCCTGGGAATAACCGGGAAAGGGTCCTGGAAGTCGGGAGAGGGTCTTGGAATCCCGGGGGGATTTTGGAATTCGGGAGGGGATTTTGGAATTCAGGAGAGGATTTTGGAATCCCGGGGGGATTTTGGGCAGCCCCTCCCCGGCCCCTCCTTGCCCTCAGCGTCCTCCCCCGGGCTCTGGGGGGGCTTCACCCCCCAAAAAACTTCACCGAGCGCTGGAAAATTCCCTCGGCTTTAAAGCCGGGTTGGGAAAGCGGGAATGGAACCCGGGACGAGCAGGGATCGAACCCGGGAAAAGTGGGAATGAAACTCGGGAAAAGCAGGAATCAATGCCGGGATGAGCAGGAATCAATCCCGGGATGAGCAGGAATCAAATCCTGGAAAAGCGGGAATGAAACCTGGGATGAGCAGGAATGAAACTCAGGAAAAGCAGGAATTAAACCTGGGATGAGCAGGAATTAAACCGGGAAAAGCAGGAATCAATCCTGGGATGAGCAGGAATCAAATCCTGGAAAAGCAGGAATTAAACCTGGGATGAGCAGGAATGAAACTCAGGAAAAGCAGGAATTAAACCTGGGATGAGCAGGAATTAAACCGGGAAAAGCAGGAATTAAACCTGGGAAAGCAGGAATCAATCCTGGGATGAGCAGGAATCAAATCCTGGAAAAGCGGGAATTAAACCTGGGATGAGCAGGAATTAAACCTGAGGAAAGCGGGAATTAAACCTGGGGAAAAGCGGGAATTAAACCCGGGAAAAGCAGGAATTAAACCTGGGGAAAAGCGGGAATCAAACCGGGGAAAAGTGGGAATCAAACCCGGGAAAAGCAGGAACGAAACCCGGGAAAAGCGGGAATTAAACCCGGGAAAAGCAAGAATCAAGCCCGGCCCAAACGGGCCTTGCAGCCACCCGGGTTTAAGCCCGGTTTAATGGGGACCGGGACCGGGAGGGGACACCGGGAATGTCCCCAAGGCGGGGGGGACCCGGCCCGTCCGCAGCGGGTGGAGCCGCTGGTCCCGAAATTCCCGGGATGATTCCCGAAATTCCCGAAATCCCGGGATGATTCCCGAAATCCCGGGATAATTCCCGAAGCCCCCGAAATTCCCGGGATGTTCCCGAAATTCCCGAAGTTCCCGGGATATTCCCGAAATTCCCGAAATTCCCGGGACATTCCCGGTGCCGGTGGCCGCGGGGCGGGGGCGCTGCCGGCGCCGGGCGGGATTTTCCCAGGGAAATGCCAAAAAAAAAGGGAAAAAAACCCCAAAAATCCCGACTGGAATCTCAGAACCTTCCCCTGGGGGCCCATCCCGGGGGGAAATCGCCAACCCCAAAATTTTGGGGTTTTGTCCCTGCCCGGAGCTGCCCAGCGGCTCCTGCGAGCTGGAACTGGGCAGAAATTCTGCCCCAAAAAAACCCAAATTTACAGGAATTCTGCCCCCAAATAAACTCCATTTTTGGGGAAATTCTACTCCCAAGAAAGCCCCAATTCTGCAGAAATTCTGGCCCCCAAAACCCCCATTTTGCAGAAATTCTGCCCCAAAACCGCAACTTTGCAGAAATTCTACCCCCAATAAACTCCATTTTTTGTGGAAATTCTACTCTCCCCAAAAAAACCCCAATTTTGCAGAAATTCTGCCCCCAAAAGCCCCAAATTTGCAGAAATTCCACCCAAAAACCCCAAATTTGCAGAAATTCCACCCAAAACCCGCAATTTTGCAGGAATTCTACCCTCAATAAACTCCATTTTTGTGGAAATTCTACTCTCCCCAAAAAAACCCAATTTTGCAGAAATTTTATCCAAAAAAACCCCTAGTTTTCAGAAATTCTACCCCAAAACCCCCCAATTTTTCAGAAATTCTACCCAAAAAACCCCAATTTTGCAGAAATTCTTCCCCAAAAAGCCCCAATTTTGCAGAAATTCCACCCAAAAAGAAAATCCCCTCTCGCTTTTCTGCAGGGCTCTTGCAGGAGGCGCGTTTTGAGGCAGAAAATGAGGTTTTGGAAATTCTGGCTGGGAATTCCACCCAGTCTCTCCTGGAGCGTTGTTCTGGTGAGAGCCCCGAGTTCAGATGGGGCCGCATCTGAACCTGTAGTTTTTAGCTTTTGACCTTTTTGGCCGATTTTTCCCCCAAAACCTCTGCCTTTCCCGCTCTTTTTTGGAGGCTCAGAGCCCCCCCGTTTGTTCATTCGCCTTTTTTCGCCGATTTTTCCCCAAAATTTCTGCTTTTCCCTCTTTTTTCAGCAGCACCCGCTCGCACACCGCTCCAGACCTGCAAGAATTCCCCTTTTGCAGCCGCTTTTACCCCAAAATTTCCTTTTTTTCCTTCTCTTTTTGAAGGAAATTCCTCTCCTGGGATTGATTCACCTTTTTGGCCGCTTTTCCCCCAAAATTTCTGCTTTTCCCTCTTTTTTTGGTGACACCAATGGCTCCGAACCCAGCCAAGGCCGCTGCCAGGACCCCCCTCTTCCTCCTCTTCCTCCTCTTCCTCCTCTTCCTCCTCTTCCTCCCCAAATGGCCCCAAAAGTCCCCAAAAGAAATCCTAAAAACGTCCCCAAAATGTCCCCAAGTGTCCCCAAATGTCCTCAAAACTTCACCAAGCATCCTAAAAACGTCCCCAAATGTCCCCAGATGACCCCAAAATGGCCTCAAATGGCCCCAAATGTCCACAAGCATCCTAAAAACGTCCCCAAAATGTCCCCAAGTGTCCCTAAAACATCCCCAAACATCCTCAAAATGCTCTTCAAAAATCCTAAAAGCGTCCCCAGCTGTCCCCAAATGTCCCCAAGTGTCCCTAAACCCGCTCTGGTGCCATTTTCCTGTCCCAGAGCTGCTCTTCAGCCAATCCTGGGCTTGTGAACGGGGCACTGGGCAGCTCTGGGCTGCTGTCACCGTCCCCAGCTGTCCCCAAATGTCCCCAAGTGTCCCTAAACCCGCTCTGGTGCCATTTTCCTGTCCCAGAGCTGCACTTTGGGCAGTCCCGGGCAGGTGATCGCTGTCCTGGGTGGCTCTGTGCTGCTGTCCCCTCCAACAAGGAGTTCCCTAAATGTCCCTAAATGTCCCCAGCTGTCCCTAAATGTCCCTAAATGTCCCCAAACTGTCCCCAGACCCTCTCAGGTGCCGTTTCTGTGTCCCAGAGCTGCTCTTCGGGCAGTCCTGGGCAGGTGATCGCTGTTCTGGCTGGGCCTGTCCTGCTGTCCCCTCCAACAAGGAGGTTCCTAGATGTCCCCACATGTCCCCAGGTGTCCCTAAGTGTCCCTAAATGTCCCCAAACTGTCCCCAGACCGTCTCAGGTGCCGTTTCTGTGTTGCAGAGCTGCTCTTTGGGCAGTCCTGGGCTGTCCTGGCTGGCTCCATGCTGCTGTCCCCTCCAACAAGGAGGTTCCTACATGTCCCCAGCTGTCCCTAAATGTCCCTAAATGTCCCCAAACTGTCCCCAGACTGTCTCAGGTGCCGTTTCTGTGTCGCAGAGCTGCTGTTGGGGCAGTCCTGGGCAGGTGATCGCTGTCCTGGCTGGGCCTGTCCTGCTGTCCCCTCCAACAAGGAGGTCCCTAAATGTCCCCAGCTGTCCCTAAGTGTCCCCAGCTGTCCCCAAACCCTCTGAGGTGCCGTTTCTGTGTCGCAGAGCTGCTCTTCGGGCAGTCCTGGGCAGGTGATCGCTGTCCTGGCTGGGCCTGTCCTGCTGTCCCCTCCAACAAGGAGTTCCCTACATGTCCCCAGATGTCCCTAAATGTCCCTAAATGTCCCCAAACTGTCCCCAGACCCTCTGAGGTGCCGTTTCTGTGTCGCAGAGCTGCTCTTCGGGCAGTCGCGGGCCCCTCCCCGCCAGGTGAACGGCATCCTGGGCGGCTCCGTGCTGCTGTCGCCGTCGCTGCTGCCCAACCAGACGGTGAAGGAGATCGAGTGGAGCTTCTCGGGCGGCTCCGGCGCCACCATCCAGGTGGCCGAGGTGGGCCCGGCGGGGCTGGAGCGCCCGGACCCGCGCGACCGCTTCGGGCGGCGCCTGGAGCTGGTGAACGGCACCGCGCTGCGGCTGCGGGCGCTGCAGAGCGGCGACAGCGGCGTCTTCGGGGCCCGCATCAAACTGCAGCCGGCCCTGGTGGATGACCAGACCTTCAACCTGTCCGTCTACGGTGAGGCGGCGCTGCGTTCATTAATTCGCGAGTTAATGGAATGGTTCCGTGCGTTCGGGTGGGGTTTGGGCGGGGAAACTGAGGCACGGAGCACGATTGGGGTTTCAGGGGACACTGATGGATGGTCAGACCCTCAATCTGTCCGTCTGCGGCGAGGGGGAACGGTTAATTGGTTAATTAATTAGTAAATTTAATTATTCACTCAGTTAAGGTGGGTCATTGGTGGGGAAACTGAGGCACGGAGCAGGATTGGGGTTTCAGGCAGCGCTGGGGGAAGACCAGGCCTTCAACCTGTCCATGCACGGCGAGGGGGGAATGGTTCATCCATTCATTCTTTCGTTAATTATTAATTTATAATAGAATTCATTTATAATTTAGAATAATTCATTTAATGATTCACTCAGTTAAGGTGGGTTATTGGTGGGGAAACTGAGGCACGGAGCACGATTGGGGTTTCAGGGGACACTGATGGATGGTCAGACCCTCAATCTGTCCGTCTGCAGCGAGGGGGAACGGTTAATTGGTTAATTAATTAGTAAATTTAATTATTCACTCAGTTAAGGTGGGGTTTGGGTGGGGAAACTGAGGCACAGAGCACGAATGGGGTTTCAGGCGGCGCTGGGGGACGGCCAGGCCTCAACACGTCCATCCCAGGCAGGGTCGGTGCCTTGGGGCGTTTGGGGGATTTGGGGTTTTTTTGGTGGGGATTTTTGGGGGTTTTCGGGGTTTTTTGGGGGGGGGATTTTTGGGGTTTTTTTGGGTGGATTTCTGGGGTTTTTTGGCTGGATTTTTTTTGTTTATTTTGGTGTTTCCAGTGCCATGCCCGTGCCCCCTCGCAGAGGCCGTGCCTCAGGGGGATTTTGGGGGTTTTTTGGGGGGTTTTTTGGGTGGATTTCTGGGGTTTTTTGGGGGGTTTTTGGGTGGATTTCTGGGGTTTTTTGGGGAGATTTCTGGGGTTTTTTGGGTGGATTTTTTTGTTTATTTTTGTATTTGCGGTGCCATGCCCGTGCCCCTCGCAGAGGCCGTGCCTCAGGGGGATTTTGGGGGGGATTTTTGGGGGTTTTTGGGGGATTTTTTGGGGGGTTTTTGGGGGGGATTTTTTGGGGTTTTTTGGCTGGATTTCTGGGGTTTTTGGGTGGATTTTTTTTGTTTATTTTTGTATTTTCGGTGCCATGCCCGTGCCCCTCGCAGAGGCCGTGCCTCAGGGGGATTTTGGGGTTTTTTGGGTGGATTTCTGGCGTTTTTTGGGTGGATTTTTTTGTTTTTTCTGTTATTTTTGGTGCCATGCCCGTGCCCCTCGCAGAGGCCGTGCCCAGCCCCCGGACGCGCAGCCAGCTCCTGGCCAGCACCCTGGAGTGGTGCAACCTGACCCTGCAGTGCCAGGGCAGCGGGCGCGGCGCCGTCAATGTCACCTGGCGGCGCGACAGCCTCACCTGGGGCCAGCTGGGGCCCGGGCGCCACCAGCTGTCCCCCGACGGCACCACCCTGAGGCTGGCGCTGCCGCCCGCCGCCACCAACGCCACCTACGCCTGCACCGTCAGCAACCCCGCCGACCACAAGGTCGCCCTGTTCGACCTGCAGAGCCTGTGCCAGGGCGGAGGTGAGGGGACACGGATGGGGACACAGGGACAGGGATGGGGACATGGGGACAGGGACACGGGGACATGGGGACACAGGGACAGGCCCTGTTCGACCTGCAGAGCCTGTGCCAGGGCGGAGGTGAGGGGACAGGGATGGGGACACGGGGACAGGGATGGGGACATGGGGACAGGGACATGGGGACAGGGACATGGGGACAGGGACACGGGGACACGGGGACAGGCCCTGTTCGACCTGCAGAGCCTGTGCCAGGGCGGAGGTGAGGGGACACGGGGACATGGACAGGGACAGGGACACGGGGACATGGGGACAGGGACATGGGGACAGGGACAGGCCCTGTTCGACCTGCAGAGCCTGTGCCAGGGCGGAGGTGAGGGGACACAGGGACAGGGATGGGGACAGGGGGACAGGGACATGGGGACAGGGACATGGGGACACGGGGACAGGCCCTGTTCGACCTGCAGAGCCTGTGCCAGGGCGGAGGTGAGGGGACACGGGGACATGGGGACAGGGATGGGGACACGGGGACAGGGACACAGGGACAGGGATAGGGCTGGGGTGTCCCACTGGGTGTCCCACACTGGGTGTCACATTGGGGTGTCCCACTTTGGGGTGTCCCATTGGGGTGTCCCACACTGGGTGTCCCACACTGGGGTGTCCCACTTTGGGTGTCCCACCGGCTGTCCCCATGCCCAGGGGGTCCCTCAGCCTTCTCCACCTCGGGCTATGTGGTTCTGTCTCTCATCCTGGTGGCCGTGAGCCTGGGCGGCGCCTTCTGGTGCTGGAGGGTCAACAGCGAGAAGGCGGCCGAGGCAGGTGGGCAAAAACCCAAATCCCAACTGCCCAAAATCCCCAAATCCCAACTGCCCAAAATCCCCCAATTCCCAACTGCCCCGAATCCCAACTGCCCAAATCCCAACTGCCCAAAATCCCAAATCCCAACTGCCCAAAATCCCCCAATTCCCAACTGCCCCGAATCCCAACTGCCCCAAATCCCAACTGCCCAAAATCCCAAAACCCCAAATCCCAACTGCCCCAAATCCCAAATCCCAACTGCCCAAATCCCAACTGCCCCGAATCCCAACTGCCCCAAATCCCAACTGCCCAAAATCCCAAATCCCCAAATCCCAACTGCCCAAATCCCAACTGCCCCAAATCCCAAAACTCCTGATTCCCAAATCCCCCAATTCCCAACTGCCCCAAATCCCAACTGCCCAAAATCCCAAATCCCCAAATCCCAACTGCCCAAATCCCAACTGCCCCAAATCCCAAAACTCCTGATTCCCAAATCCCCCAATTCCCAACTGCCCCAAATCCCAACTGCCCAAAATCCCAAAACCCCCAAATCCCAACTGCCCAAAATCCCCCAAATCCCCCGAATCCCAAATCCCCCAATTCCCAACTGCCCCAAATCCCAACTGCCCCGAATCCCAACTGCCCAATTTCCAACTCCTCAATTCCCCAAATTCCCAAGTCCCCAATTCCCAGTTCCCAAATTCCCAATTCCCAACTGCCCCAAATTCCCAATTCCCCAATTCCCTGCTTTCCTGGTTTTCCCATTTTTCTCGTTTTCCCATTTACCCATTTTCTTGTTGTCCTGTTTTCCCATTTCCCCCATTTTTCCCATTTCCCCGGTTTCTTTCCCCGTTTCCCCGTGTTTTTCCCCCATTTATTCCCCATTTTCCCTGTGTTTTTTCCCCCATTTTCCCTGTGTTTTTCCCCCCATTTTCCCGCAGCCGCCACGCCCACGGCGCCGCCCGAGGAGAGCCCCGGGGAGCCGCAGTTCAGCGACATCGTCTGCAGGAGCCCCCCCGAGGGCAACGACCAGGTCGGGACCCCAAAAAACCGGGAGGGACCCCAAAAACCATGGGGGGGATCCCAAAAACCCGGGAGGGACCCCAAAAACCCGGGAGGGGACCCCAAAAACCCGGGGGAGGACCCCAAAAACCATAAAAATCCCAAACCCTCAGGAATCCCAAAAACTGCAGGGACCCCAAAAACTGTGGGGAGATCCCCACAAAAACCACAGGAATCCCAAACCCATAAAAATCCCAAACCCTCGGGAATCCCAAAAACCATGAGAATCCCAAACCCATAAAAATCCCCAAACCTTGAGAATACCAAAAACTGAGGGGGACCCCAAAACCATGGGAATCCCAAAACCCATAAAAATCCCAAACCCTCGGGAATCCCAAAAGCTGCAGGGACCCCAAAAACCGCGGGGGGGATCTCACAAAAACCACGGGAATCTCAAACCCATAAAAATCCCAAACCCTCGGGAATCCCAAAAACTGCAGGGACCCCAAAAACTGCGGGGAGATCCCCACAAAAACCACGGGAATCCCAAACCCATAAAAATCCCAAACCCATAAAAATCCCCAAATTTTGATATTCCCCTTGGGAATGTCAAAAACTGAGGGGGACCCCAAAACCATGGGAATCCCAAAACCCATAAAAATCCCAAACCCTTGAGAATCCCAAACCCATAAAAATCCCAAACCCTTGGGAATCCCCAAACCCTCGGGAATCCCAAAACCAGGAGAATCCTAAACCCATAAAAATCCCAAACCCTCGGGAATCCCAAACCCATAAAAATCCCAAACCCTTGGGAATCCCAAACCCTTGGGAATCCCAAAACCAGGAGAATCCCAAACCCATAAAAATCCCAAACCCATAAAAATCCCAAACCCTCGGGAATCCCCAAACCCTCGGGAATCCCAAAAACGGTGGGGGGACCCCAGAAGCCTCAGGGGCCCCCCGATGTCGCCCCGCAGGGCCCCAGCCCCCCCGAGGCCCCGCAGGAACCCAGCGAACCCCAAAAACCCCAGCCCGAGGCCCCGCAGGAACCCAGCGAACCCCAAAAACCCCAGCCCGAGGCCCCGAAATCGCCCCCGGGGGGCGGCGAGCAGAAAGGGCCCGAGGACACGGCCGAGGAGGTGACATAGGCCAGGTGAGCGACCCCAAACCCCCCAAAAACACCCCAAAAACACCCCAAAAACGGGACCTGGGGACACCCCCAGCCCCAAACTGCCAGGGGAAAGGGGAAAGGGGCTTTGGGGGGGCTGAGCCCAGAAAGGGACATTAGGGACCCCAAGAGAGGGAGGGAGAAAGGGTTGGGGTGTCCCAAAAAGGGACATTGGGGACCCCAAGAGAGGGACTGGGATAAAGGCTTGGGGAGGGGGAATGGCCCCAAAAAGGGCATTAAAGGGTTGGGGATGATCCCAAAAAGGGCGTTAAAGGGCTGGAGAGGGGAATGGCCCCAAAAAGGGACATTTGAGGGACCCCAAAAATGGCATTAAAGGGTTGGGGAATGGCCCCAAAAGAGTGGGGTTAAAGGGTTGGGGCATGGCCCCAAAAAGGGCATTAAAGGGTTGGGGATGGCCCCAAAAAGGGCATTAAAGGGCTGGGGATGGACCCAAAAAGGGACATTTGGAGGACCCCAAAAAGGGCATTAAAGGGTTGGGGATGATCCCAAAGAGGGCATTGAAGGGTTGGGGATGATCCCAAAAAGGGCATTAAAGGGCTGGGGAGGGGAATGGCCCCAAAAAGGGCATTAAAAGGTTGGGAATGGCCCCAAAGAGGGCATTAAAGGGTTGGGGATGGCCCCAAAAAGGGCATTAAAGGGTTGGGGATGGCCCCAAAGAGGGCATTAAAGGGCTGGGGAGGGGAATGGCCCCAAAGAGGGCATTAAAGGGTTGGGGATGGCCCCAAAAAGGGCATTAAAGGGCTGGGGAGGGGAATGGCCCCAAAGAGGGACATTTGGAGGACCCCAAAGAGGGCATTAAAGGGTTGGGGAGGACCCCAAAGAGGGCATTAAAGGGTTGGGGATGATCCCAAAAAGGGGACTAAAGGGTTGGGCAACGGCCCCAAAGAGGGGATTGAAGGGTTGGGGGAATGCCCCCAAAAAGGGACATTTGGGGGACCCCAAAAAGGGCATTGAAGGGTTGGGAATGGCCCCAAAAAGGGCATTGAAGGGTTGGGAATGGCCCCAAAGAGGGCATTAAAGGGTTGGGGATGGCCCCAAAAAGGGCATTGAAGGGCTGGGGAGGGCGCTGCCCCCAACCCCGGGGCCGATCCCGGGCTCTCCTCCCTTTTGGGGACCCCACAAGCCCCGGGGTGTCCCCGCAGGGCCCCGCAGCGCCGGGACCCCTGGAAGGGCTGTGAGCGTCGTGTGCCAAACCCCGACCCCAAAGAACCCCACAGCCGGACGGATTTCCCCGTTTCTGACCCCAAAACCCTCGGGGCTGACCCCAATTCCCTGCCTGGGGCTGTGCTGGGGAGGGGGACCCAAGGTGGAGGTCCCAGAGGGGCTTTTGGGGGGTCCCCGGGGGCTTTTGGGGTCCCCGCATGTTTTGGGGTGGGACAATCCCCTTGACCCCACAAAGGGACGAATTTCCCCATTTCTGACCCCAAAATCCTCGGGTTTGTCCCCAGTTCCCTGCCTGGGGCTGTTTTGGGGAGGGGGCTCCAAGCCTGGGTGGGTCCCTGGGGGGTTTTGGGGTCCCCGCATGTTTTGGGGTGGGAGGATCCCCCTGGCCCCACACCTGGACAGATTTCCCCGTTTCTGACCCCAAAACCCTCGGGTCTGACCCCAATTCCCTGCCTGAGACTGTTCTGGGGAGGCAGATCCCGATCAGGGGCAGCAGAGCCAGAATTTGGGGGGTCCCTGGGGGTTTTGGGGGTCCATGAGGGGTCCCCGCATGTTTTGGGGTGGGAGGATCCCCCTGGCCCCACACCTGGACAGATTTCCCCGTTTCTGACCCCAAAACCCTCGGGTTTGTCCCCAGTTCCCTGCCTGGGGCTGCTTTGGGGAGGGGGCTCCAAGCCCGGGTGGGTCCCCGGGGGGGTTTTTTGGGGGTCCCCGGGGGTTTTTGGGGTCTCTGGAGGGTCCCTGCCTGTTTTGGGATTTTCCGGAATTGGGGGAAAATTCGGGAATTTTCAAATTTTCGCCCCCCACGCGCGGCTGTCACCGAGCCTGGGGACAATGGGGACACCTTGGGGACCCCAAAACCCGGGAGGGAACAATGGGGACACCCGGGGGACCCCAAAACCCGGAGGGGACAATGGGGACACCCGGGGGACCCCAAAACCCGGGAGGGGACAGCGCCCCCCACACCCCCCACACCCACCGTGTAAATATCAGCAAATAAATGTTGGTGACGTTTGCGCTGCGTTTTTTGGGGTGTTTGGGGTTTTTTGGGGTGGTTTGGGGGGTTTTGGGGCTGGTTGAGGGGTATTTGGGCTGGTTCTGGGGTATTTGGGGCCTGGTTTTGGCCCTGGGTTTGGTTCTGTTTTGGGGTTTTTTGAGGGTTTTTTGGGGTGTTTTGGGGCCGGTTCTGGGACTGGTTTTGGGGCCTGGTTTTGGGGCATTTGGGGCTGGTTTTGGGGTATTAGGGGCCTTCTTTTGGCCCTGGGTTTGGTTCTATTTTGGGGATGGTTTTGGGTATTTTGGGACTGGTTCTGGGACTGGTTTTGGGATGTTTGGGAATTTGGGGCCGGTTTTGGGGTGGGTTTTGGTGTATCTGGGGCCTGGTTTTGCCTCTGGTTCGGTTCTATTTTGGGGATGGTTTGGGGTTTTTGGGGCTGGTTCTGGGACTGCTTTTGGGGTGTTTTGGGCTGGTTTTGGGGGTATTTGGGCCTGTTTTGGCCCTGGCTTTGGCTCTGGTTTTTGGGCTGGTTCGGGGCTGTTTGGCTCCGTTCATACATGGGTTTTCTCCATTTTTATTTGTCTGGCTCCATTTATCCCGGGTTTTGCCCCGTTCTGGCCCTGTTTATCCCTGTTTTCCCCCGTTTCTCCCGGTTTCCCGGTTTTTGCCCCGTTTATCTCCATTTATCCCGGATTTTGCCCCATTCTGGCCCTGTTTATCCCTGTTTTCCCCCGTTTTTTGCCCCGTTTATCTCCATTTATCCCGGGTTTAGCCCCGTTTTTCCCGTTTTTTCCCCGTTTTTCCCGGCCCGTGTTTCTGAGGGCAGGGGGCGTTTCCCGCGCGCGCGCTCCCGCGTCTCTCTGCCCCCCCCATACCGGAAGCGGAAGCGCGTGGGCGCGCGCGCTGCCCGGAAGCGCGTGGGCGGCGGCGGCGGTTCCGGTTCCGGCGGCGGCGGCGGCGGCGGCGCGGGGGAGGCACCGGGAGGAGGAGAAGGAGAGGAAGGAGGAGAACAACGACAAGAAAAAGGAAAAGAAGAAGAAGAAGCGGCGGCGCCACCGACCGCAGCAACAGCGGGACGAGCGCCCAGGGCCGAGCCGCCTCCTCTCCCCCGCCCCCCCCCCGCCCCGCACTACCGGGAACGATCCGCCCCCCCCGCCCCGGTCCCCGCCCGCCTCCTTCCCCGTTTCCCCCCTCCCTTCCCGTCCTCCTCCTCCTCCTCCTTCTCCCGGAACCCGCCTCGCTCCTCCCGGCCCGCGCCGCCCCCGCAGGTGCGTCCCGGGGGGACCGGGGGGGTACCGGGGGGGGGGGGCGGAATTACCGGGGGTACCGGAGCGGGGGGAGCGGGCCGGGATGAGGGAGAGGCCCCGCGGAGCTGCCGGGGAGGGCGGCACGGGGGCTCCGCGGCGCTCTCCGGGGGCGGCGGGGCTGGAGCGCAGCCCCGGTAACGGCGGGGGGGGGGGGGGTCCCGGTAACCGGGGGAGGGGAGCGGGGGCTGGGGGCTGAACGCGGAGCGGCCGAAAAGGCGGAGCCGGGGAGGGGGGCGGGGGTTACCCAGAACCGCGCGGGGAGCGGGGGCGAGCGAACACCGAGCGACCCCCCCCGCTCCGGTACCGGGGAACGGGAACGGGGGAACGGGAACGCGAACCGGGACCCCCCCCCCCCGTGCGGCAGCGCCGGGCGCGGAGCGTGGGAGGCCCCGGCCGCGGCTCCGGGGGTGTCTGCGGGGAGCGGCACCGCCCGGGGCCGGGGCGGGCCGGGCAGGCCGGGACAGGCTCGGGGCGGCGGGAGCGGAGCGGGGGAGCCGCGGCCCCGGCGCCGCTCGGCCCCTCCCGGCGGCCATTTGGGGCCTTTGGGGAACCGGGGCCGGGCCGGGGGCGGCGCTGGGGTCCCGGGGGCTCCGGTGACTCCCGGGGCTCTCGGGGCCTGCCCGGGGCTCCGCTGTGAGATCCCGGCCCGCGAGCCCAGGCAGGGAAATTCCCCCTTTTCCCTTTCTCTCCACTTCTTTCCCCCTTTTTTTTCCTCTTTTTTCCCATTTTTCCCTTTTTTCCCCGTTTCTCCCTGCCCTGTCTCTATTTTTTCCCCTTCTCTTTCCCTTTTTTCCCATTCCCCCCCTTTTTTCTCTTTTCTCCCGTTTTCCCTTCCTCTTTTTCTCTCTTTTTCCCCCTATTTTTTCCCTTTTTTCTTTCCCTTTTTTTCCCCTATTTCCCCCTCCCCCTTTTCTCTATTTTTTTCTCTATTTTTCCCATTTTGCCCCCTTTTTTTTTCCCATTTCCTCCTCCCCTTTTTGTCTATTTTTCCCCCCATGATTTCCCTTTTTCCCATTTCCTCCTGCCCTTTTTCTCTATTTTCTCCCATTTTCCCCGGCTTTTCCCTCCCCTCCTGCCCTGGCACATCTGGGCCAGCTCCCAGCTGTGGATTTTGGCAGCCGGGCCCGTCTGGGAACTGAGCAGGGTTTGTTTTGTCTCCTTCCTGCAACTCCAGCCAGGGAAATTTCCCTTTTTGCTCCTCTTTTCCCCCCCTTTTTTCACCTTTCTCTTCATTTCCCCCTTCTCTTCATTTCCCCTTCTCTTCCCTTTCCCCCCCTTTATTTCCCCCCCTTTATTTCCCCCCCTTTATTCCCCCCTTTATTCCCCCTTTTTGTCCCTATTTAATTCCTTTTCTCCCACTTCTTCCTCCCATTTCCCCCCTTTCTCCCCCTTCATTCCGCCCCCTTTTTGTCCCCCATTTTCTCCCCATTATTTTCCCCATTTTCTCCCTATTATTTCCCCAATTTTCCCCCCATTTTCTCTCCATTATTTTCCCCATTTTCTCCCAATTTTCCCCCCATTATTTCCCCCATTTTCTCCCCATTATTTCCCCAATTTTCCCCCCATTTTCTCCCCATTATTTCCCCCATTTTCTCACCATTATTTCCCCTTTTTCTCCCCATTATTTCCCCATTTTCTCCCCATTATTTCCCCAATTTTCCCCCCATTTTCTCCCCATTATTTCCCCCATTTTCTCCCCATTATTTCCCCCATTTTCTCCCCATTATTTCCCATTATTTCCCCGTTTCCCGGGCAGGGCCTGCTGACCCCTCTCTCTGCAGGAGGAAGAGGATGAAGGCCGGCTGCAGCATCGTGGACAAGCCCGAGGGAGGAGGGGGTAAGGAGCTCCCAGCCCCATTCCTGCTGCATTTCTGGGATAAAAATCCCATAAACCCCAATTCCTGCTGCATTTCTGGGATAAAAATCCCATAAACCCCAATTCCTGCTGCTTCTCTGGGATAAAAATCCCATAAACCCCAATTCCTGCTGCTTTTCCGGGATAAAAATCCCATAAACCCCAATTCCTGCTGCTTCTCTGGGATAAAAATCCCATAAACCCCAATTCCTGCTGCTTCTCTGGGATAAAAACCCCATAAACCCCAATTCCTGCTGCTTTTCTGGGATAAAAATCCCATAAACCCCAATGCCTGCTGCTTCTCCGGGATAAAAACCCCATAAACCCCAATTCCTGCTGCTTTCCCAGGATAAAAATCCTATAAATCCCATTTTCTGTTGCTTCTCTGGGATAAAAATCCCATAATCCCCAATTCCTGCTGCTTTCCCAGGATAAAAATCCTATAAATCCCATTTTCTGTTGCTTCTCTGGGATAAAAATCCCATAAGCCCCAATTCCTGCTGTTTTCCCAGGATAAAAATCCCATCAATCCCATTCCTGCTGCTTTTCTGGGGTAAAAATCCCATAAATCCCATTTTCTCTTGCTTTTCTGGGATAAAAATCCCATTATCTGCTTCTTTCCCAGGATAAAATCCCATTTTTTGCTGCTTTCCCAGGATAAAATCCCTTTTTTTTTTGCTGCTTTCCCAGGATAAAAATCCCATTTCCTGCTGCTTTTCCAGGATAAAAATCCCATAAATCCCATTTCCTGCTGCTTTCCCGGGATAAAAATGCCATTTTTGCTGCTTTTCCAGGATAAAAATATTTCCTGGGAATGCTGATCCCGCCTCTCCCACCATTCCCTGCTGGGAAAGAAACGAGGGTGGAGGTGCTGCCGTGAAAATTCAAATTATTCCTCCCTCCCCGGGGATGGGTTTGGGGTGGATTTGGGATTATTCCCTCCTGGGATTTGTGTCCTGGCAGGAATGT